TAGGAAGAGGACACAAACATTCAGTCCATACAGTTTCACTACAAGCAATTTGACTAATTTGAATAACTAAGTAAATATTAGCTAAGACTTCTGTTTTTATTATTATTTTAGCGTATTATGGGGGTACAAGTGTTAAGGTTACATATATTGTCCATGTCCCTCTACCCCCTAGCTAAGATTTCTTGAGTAGTATGACACTGTATAGATTTCAAACCATGTTTCTACAAAAATAAGACAGGGCCTTATATTTATTTTTCCTCAAGAAGACACCCTAAGGATTATTTGCAGGGGATGTGTTATTTTTTTTTAAGTACGGTACAACCATCTCCATTGATTCCAATAGAGTGAAGTCGTCTTCTTCTGGAACATCATCATCACTCTCCAAACCCCGAATCCCATCCTGAATGTCTTGCGACTCTGTTTCCTTTAGAACCACTGGCCCCGATCTCTCCTGTGGAGCACTAGAGCTCTCACGGGGCGGATGAGAAGGGCTGCTCGTGTTCTTTCCCGCCCTGCGATGACACGCATGGGTTTGTGCAGATGCACTGCGGAGCCACACCCATCACTAGGGGCTGATTTTCACAGCCACGCCCATCGCTAGGGCTTATTTTCATAGCCACACGCCACCACTGGGGCTGATTTTCATAGCCCGCCCATCACTAGGGCTGATTTTCATAGCCACGCCCATCACCAGGGCTGATTTTCGGGGTAGGGCTTCTATTGTACAAATGCTTAGAAATCCTGCTGGGGCTTCTTTTATGGGGAGGTCTCATTTTCAGGGAAACACGGTGTATATACCATCTTATTAAATTCTAACAACTCTGCAAGACATGGGTTATCATCCCAATTTTGCAGAAGACGAGGCACGAGTTGGGGGAGAATTTAGGAAGCATGCAAAGCCCGATTGAATGCTGCCATCATCGGCCTTGGCAATGACCATTGCAACTAGCATCACCAGTGTGATTAAGGGTTTGCACGATTTTTAAGTAGAGGTTAGTGTACATAGCTGCCACCACAGGCGTCAGCAGAGCTGTGTCATGTAGGCATGGACTTGGCTCTATGCCATTGAACATCTGACCAATGATGGCTTCAAGCAGGCGTCCTCAAACTACGGCCCAGGGCCACATGTGGGAGTTTTTGCCCGTTAGTTTTTTTACTTCAAAATAAGATATGTGCAGTGTGCATGGGAATTTGTTCATAGTTTTTTTAAACGATAGTCCAGCCCTCCGACGTCTGAGGGACGGTGAACTGGCCCCCTGTTTAAAAAGCTTGAGGAGGGGCGCCGGGCTCATGTCTGTCACCCAGCACTCTGGAGCGAGGCGGGTAGGGATCGCTCTCGAGGTAGGAGTTCAAAACCAGCCTGAGCAAAAGCAAGACCCGTCTCTACTATAAATAGAAAGAAATTAATTGGCAACACTAATATATATAGAAAATTGCAGGGCGTGGGTGGCGCTATGCCTGTTAGTCCAGCTACTCGGGAGCTGAAGGCAGTGGAGGTCGTTGAGCCAGGAGTTGCAGGTTGCTGCTGAGCTAGGCTGACGCACGGCACTCACTCTAAGGCCTGGGCAAACAAAGGGAGACTCTGTCTCAAAAAAAAGGGCAAAAACACCTGCATGTGGCCCTCGGGCCGTAGTTTGAGGACGCCTGATCTAGAAGATGTTACCATGGTGACCCCGTAAAACACAGACACAAGGAAAAAAGAGCAGGAGTACAATACAGGCAAAGGGTTAACTGGCTGAGTTATTAAAAGGAAAAGCAACTGACTAATAAAAGGCGTTTTGTTTGGTTTGGGAAGTTTGGAGCTTCATCAGAAAATAATCAAGTGCCCCCTTCTCCACTCCCCTCCCAGGAGAAAGAAGCAGGATTGGGATTCTCAAGGTCTGTGCTCCTTGCAGCAGGCAAACTTCCCAGGATGGAAATAAAGAGTCTGTGACATTCAGATCCAGTGAGGACGAGGAGCCCGCAGCGTGGGTGGCAGTTGGCGCTCGGAGACGAAATACAGGAATTACCTGATCTGGGAGCCCAGAGATTTCTTCCTCCTTGACCATGTCTCATTTGGCCTCCTCCAAGCCTTCTTTGTCACCAAGCCTCCTGTCGCTCCCATCGCTGGCCTGGCTTTAGCGAGAATCCTGCTAAATTGGGTTGGTGAGAATGTCCCCGCCCTTGATACCCATCACATTGCTCAGCCTCCACCTTCATGGCCAAGTGCTTGGCCAGCCTTTAGTTAGAATCTTGTGGAGCCAGTTGAACAAGAGTCCCCCAGCCTTGCCACCTCCTCCCATCTACCAACCCCATCGCTCTGGCTATACATTCCCACCGTCCTCCCTGCGTTCACAGGGAGTTCAGCCTCTCCCCCTGTTGCGACAGTCTTGAAGAAAGTCTTCCTTTCCATCTTAGCAAGTGTCAAAGCCATTTTTCTTTTTTTGAGACAGAGTCTCACTCTGTTGCCCAGGCCGGAGTGAGTGCCGTGGCGTCAGTCTCGCTCACAGCAGCCTCAACTCTGGCTCCAGCAATCCTCCTGCCTCAGCCTCCAGTAGCTGGACTAGAAGTGAGTGCCGTGGCGCAGCCTAGCTCACAGCAGCCTCAACTCTCCTGGGCTCCAGCGATCTCCTGCCTCACCTCCAGTAGCCTGGGACTTAGACTGGAGTGCCGCGTCAGCCTAGCTCACAGCAGCCTCAACCTCCTGGGCTCCAGCGATCCTCCTGCCTCAGCCTTCTCCCGAGTAGCTGGGACTACAGGCATGCGCCACCACGCCCGGCTCATTTTTTCTCTATATATTTTTAGTTGGCCAATTAATTTCTTTCTATTTTTTTAGTAGAGACGGGGTCTCGCTCTTGCTCAGGCTGGTCTCCAACTCCTGAGCTCAAACGATCCTCCCGCCTCGGCCTCCAAGAGTGCTAGGATGACAGGCGTGAGCCACCTCGCCTGGCCAAAATCATCTTTCTTTGACAGTCATGCCCCTCGCTCTGCAGCACCGAGGATGGGACCGTGGGCCCAGGGCATTTGGGAGGCTGTCAGGTCCAGCATCGTGGAGGACTGTGGTTCTGCTTTCTTGTCTCCTTGCTTGGAAGAATCACAAGCAGGCCAGGGCAAGGGAAGAATCGCAGACAGGAAGGCATTCGACACAAATGGCTCTAATTGCACAAGAGAGGGGACTACACAAAGCGACAACAGGTTCCAGACAGAGGAGCGGGTGTGGAGAAAGGTGCTAAGTTCTCCCAGCTGGTTTCATTTCCTGGGCCTGGTCCGGGGAGCACTCTCGGGGAGCACTCTCGGGGAGCACTCTCGGGGAGCACTCTCGGGGGTGTGGGACATTACCAGGTGATTGGCATACATCAGGGGCCCTGCATTTTCCTGCAGTCCTTCCCCTAATTGGTCCCCACCTCTAGGAACCACCCCGCTGGCCTGTACCTGCCACCTGCGGCTGTGGTCCCCGCCCAACAAGGCTGAGCGCTAAGGGAAATGGCCTCGTAGAGAGGACAGTCCTGCCAGCAGGGAGGACTCCCGAGAGGCGAGTCTCTACTCCCGACAGAAGCAGAGGACCGGGGCTCATTAGAAATAATGAACATTTATTATCACTGATATTGAAAGATTTCAGGCCGGGCGCGGTGGCTCAGGCCTGTAATCCCAGCACTCTGGGAGGCCGAGGCGGGAGGATCGCTCAAGGTCAGGAGTTTAAAACCAGGCTGGGCAAGAGCGAGACCCCCCATCTCTACTAAAAATAGAAAGAAATTAATTGGCCAACTAAAAATATATAGAAAAATGAGCCGGGCATGGTGGCACATGCCTGTAGTCCCAGCTACTCGGGAGGCTGAGGCAGGAGGATCGCTTGAGCCCAGGAGTTTGAGGTTGCTGTGAGCGAGGCTGACATCATGGCACTCACTCTAGCCCAGGCAACACAGTGAGACTCTGTCTCAAAAATAAAATAAAATAAAATAAAATAAAATAAAATAAAATAAACACTCTTAAATTGTCCTATCTCATCTGTATGAAGTATAAAATCTCAGACTTGAAATCAGGTTCTGAATTTTCCTGATAGTGGATATCGCTGCAAATAGAAATGTCACCAACATCTGTTCAGTGAGGAACTTTTGGTTCTCTCCTACAAGTGTTTAAAACTGGAATGTAAGAAACCATTTCCAAAATAATCAAATACGAAAACAATAAAAAATAAACAAAAAAATCAAATATGTACAAAAACAATTTATTAAATAACGTATAGGAAGACTACAAAAGACATTTCCAGAACACTCATATTCATGTCATTTACAAAACTTCATTTTCTACAAAGGTCTGTCCAGCTGGAAAGCATGAAATTCTTCAGGGCAGTCTTCTTTATTCCATGAGTTGGCAGAATTTATTTCCATCTTCTGTGCATGGAGCACTGAAATGATGAACGTCACTTTTTTCCAACCAAGACAGTTCCTCAGCCTCATGACAGATCAGGTTTCCACGTCTTCTGGGCTGTTCTCACGAAGAGCAGCCACTGCGAAAGCTATTTTGGATCCTTTTCTCTTCTTCACATACAGGATGTGAGATATATTACAGAAAAATAAGAGTTTGGGGCCGGGCGTGGTGGCTCACGCCTGTCATCCTAGCACTCTGGGAGGCCGAGGCGGGAGGATCGCCCGAGGTCAGGAGTTCGAGGCCAGCCTGAGCAAGAGCGAGACCCCGTCTCTACTAAAAATAGAAAGAAATTAATTGGCCAACTAAAAAAAAATTAAAATATATATATATATATACACACACACATATATATATATAATTAGCCGGGCATGGTGGCGCGTGCCTGTAGTCCCAGCTACTCGGGAGGCTGAGGCAGGAGGATCGCTTGAGCCCAGGAGTGTGAGGTTGCTGGGATCGAGGCTGACGCCACGGCACTCACTCTAGCCTGGGCAACACAGTGAGACTCTGTCTCAAAAAATAAAATAAGAGTTTGGAAGTCTGTCTCACACCTGTAGAAAAACCACTGTGAGAATATTCTTAAATTCTAAAAGGCTTTAAAAGCCTGTGTCTCTGCACTGTTTCCGAGAGTCAGCAGCTCTGCAGGAAGACATTCCCATCCGTGGCCCCTCGCGGGGCTTCCTCTCGTGACCGTTCTGGGAGATGACCCTGGGCTGGCGCTCCGCTCGCAGGCGCTCACCAGTCTCCTCCCCTCCCCCTCGCGAGGGGAGTCCCAGCGCTTCAGCGAACGGGAGCCGGCCTTTGGGGTTTCTTAGAAGAAAGGGAAATGCGAGGATGGCATCAGCCTTGGCCTCAAGACTCCCTCAGACTCCAGCTCTAGAACCTTCTAGCAGGGGCCTGGATCCAGGCTGGTTCTCCAAAAAAAGAAGAGAAAAATATCTTGGTTGACATTACAGAGGCGTGATTAGCAATTGAGCAAGGCGGGAACGTGAAACTGTAGAGAGCTCTGCATAAAAAATGGCTAGAGCTGCGGACCCTGGCCACAGACAGTGTTTAAATAATTAAAACGAGGCCGGGCGCGGTGGCTCACGCCTGCAACCCTGGCACTCTGGGAGGCCGAGGCGGGAGGATCGCTCGAGGAAAGGAGTTCGGAGCCAGCCTGAGCAAGAGCGCAAGACCCCGCTCTACTAAAAAAAAAAAAAAAAAAAAAAAAAAAAAAAACAAAAAAAAAAAAAAGAGAAAAAAAAAACAAAAAAAAAAGACAAGGAAAAAAAAAAAAAAAGAAAAAAAAAAAAAAAAACAAAAAACAAAAAAAAATAAATTAATTGGTCAACTAAGAATATATAGAAAAATAAGGCCGGCATGGTTGGCGGGGTGCCTTGTACGTCCCAGCACTCGGAGGCTGAGGCAGCGAGGATCGCTTGAACGGCAGCGAGTCGGGAGGTTGTGTGAGCCGGGAGGCTGACGCGCCACAGCGCTCACTCTGCCTGCGGCCCAACAGAGCGAGACTCTGTCTCAAAAAAAAAAAAAAAAAAAAAATGAGTTTCTTGAAGAACCAATCTAAGACAGATAAGACTTGGAAAAGGCACTGAATTCCTCAGATAAAAGGCCATTGTTCAAAAGGAAATGGGTTAATGGCTTTGTAGTCCGAGTTCCAGACAGAAATAGGACTTCCGGCTCTCAGGGTCATTAGCAAGAAGCCCACGCCTTTCTGGGCCATGGCAGAGTTCTGGAATAATGTTTGTGATAATCAGGGTCTGTCCACCTTCCCGTTCCCCCACCCCCACCCCCGCTGCTCTCAGACTCGGGGACCGCCAGCCTTTGGGGACAAGTCAGGATCCCCACCTCGTGCCAGCAGCTGTACATGACTTGGTAGACGGCCATCGGTGCCAGGTGAGGCCGGTACAGCCTGAAGCCTTCAGAAATGGCTTCCACGACTTGCAGATTTGACTTGTTTTCAAAAGGCATTTTGCCTTCCGTGAAAACTTCCCACATTAAAACTCCTGCAAACAGAGCGCACAGAAACAAGCAAGGGATTAGAGGGAAACAGTGGCTTGGAACTGCGAGAACTCTTGCAGGCTGCATGGATTTCCCCCTGCAGCCTCTGAGTTAGAATCCCCCAGAACGAGAGCAGTTGAAACCAAGAGGGAAGCGGACCCTGTGTGCACCTTGGTTTTTCGAAGAGGCCTGTAGCTTGAAGAGAACCCAAGGGAAAACAAAGCCTTTCCTTTGCCATTGTTCTTGATTGGCCCCTTGTTAAAATAAAATACTGGTAGCATTTTCATTCCTAAGCATGACCCATGTACAAGTGCCCTGAAATCAGTGAACCTTTCTGCCCTTCCATAGAAACTGGCAGAATTGTGAGTCCCCGCTGCCTGCCATGGCTACGAGTTTTCCCGCCAGCAGGTGGCACATGTCTGTCCCCTCCTGCCACTAAAAGACTAGACCGCTGGGTAGAGCCCCAGAATAGCTAGGAGGTCCTATATATATTAAGTAGGTGTTCAATAATCATGGATCGATTGATTGACTAGTGAAAATCCTTCAGGAAATTCCAAGTTGCAGTTTATTTAATTATTCACTTATTCTACAAATACTTACTAATTATTATTATTATTATTATTTTTGGAGACAGAGTCTCGCTTTGTTGCCCAGGCTAGAGTGAGTGCCGTGGCGTCAGCCTAGCTCACAGCAACCTCAAACTCCTGGGCTCAAGCGATCCTCCTGCCTCAGCCTCCCGAGTAGCTGGGACTACAGGCATGCGCCACCATGCCCGGCTAATTTTTTCTATATATTTTTAGTTGGCCAATTGATTTTCTTTCTATTTTTAGTAGAGATGGGGTGTCACTCTTGCTCAGGCTGGTCTTGAACTCCTGACCTTGAGCGGTCCTCTCTCCTCAGCCTCCCAGGGTGCTAGGATTACAGGCGTGAGCCACCACGCCTGGCCAAGAAGTCGTCTTACAACCTAACTGCTCTCTAGTAGAGCTTCAAATGTCACCTAATGAAATTATCACATGCCCAAGGAGAGCTAATGAGACCAATGATACAAGCTTGACCTTACTGTAGATAATAAAATTTGCACATGTATTGCCATTTTTTTGGAATATCAACTCAAAAAACAAAGTCCATTGGACATGGGTCTATAGTGGCTCTCTCTCAATAAAGAACATTATCCAATAGAAATATCAGTTGAGGCCGGGCGCGGTGGCTCACACCTGTAATCCTAGCACTCTGGGAGGCCAAGTCAGGTGGATCGCTCAAGGTCAGGAGTTTGAAACCAGCCTGAGCAAGAGCGAGACCCCGTCTCTACTATGAATAGAAGGAAATCAATTGGCCAGCTAAAAAATTATAGAAAAAATAAATTAGCTGGGCATGGTGGCGCATGCCTGTAAGTCCCAGCTACTCAGGAGGCTGAGGCAGGAGGATTGTTTGAGCCCAGGAGTTTGAGGTTGCTGTGAGCGAGGCTGACGCCATGGCACTCACTCTAGCCCGGGCAACTGAGTGAGACTCTGTCTTAAAAAAAAGAAAAGAAATATCAACTGACATATCCCAAGGCAGCTTATGTCTAAATTCCATAAAATTGGAAGGTAACAAAATAAATGAGGCGGCGCCATTTTTAACCCAGGTTTTTAAGTTCAAGTTATCAACTAAACAGTTGTAAAATGGTCAAGCTCCTTAGTAGTCACACAATGAAGTTTATTAATTACACCCTAGAGTCAAAGACACTGTACGATCATTGCTCCTTCAAGCCTCCCTGGCGTGGAAAAGTTGGCTGAGTTTGTTTCCTACTTCAGTAGACTCTTTGTCATGGATTTACAGCCAGTGCTCATAGGGGAAGGAAAAGATCCCAAAGAGAGACTTACGTAAGAAGACGTGAAACCCCAAAAGACAGTCTGGATGTGGTTAGAACACACATGACCAAAAAGCACAGTCACAAAACAACTTTTTTGAAACTGCTGCATCCTATTAGGAGATCAAAGTTGAGAACACTGCCCATTTTTATTAAATCGAGCTCCAGCAAATGAGCAGCAGATGCACTCACCGAATGACCAGACGTCAGATTTACTGCTGTACTTGTTGAAATGGAAAACTTCGGGGGGAGACCACTTGACCGGGAATTTGGCTCCTGAGGAACTGATGTATTCATCATCTAGAACATACCTAAGTCACCAGATTCAAAGCACATCGTGTTAATGACCTCCGATTTCTACTTATTTCAAATCCCTCCAGTCAATTCTGAGTTGCTAAAAGACCAACTATTTGACCTCAGAAAGGTTCTGTACCCCTTTTTTTCTTCTTGTTAGCATAGTGTGAAAGAATAGTGTTTCTTCCCCAAACCAAGTCTTAGTTGCGTTTGTTTTATTTGGGTCTCCAAAACTCATGATGAAACTTCAGTCCCAAGCATGGCTCACTATTTATGTTGGTTCTGATAAACTCTTAACTCAAAGAAGCATGCTGAATGCTCTAACCACCACGGTTATAAAAAGGAAATACAAGATAAGCAAATCACTACTCTTCTTATAATAATAAAAAAAAAATGAATTCAAAGTTGGATGCCATATTTTCTTCCATGCATATATTTTTTGGTGAGGCATAGAGAAGGGTGGAAAAATAAAAGTATATAAACATAATACTTTTCTTTTTAAGAGATGGGGTCTCACTCTTGTAGCCCAGGCTGGAATGCAATGGCACTATCATAGCTCACTGCAGCCTTGAACTCCTGGACTCAAGCGATCCGCCCAACTGGACCTCCAAAAAGTGCTGGGATTACAGGCGTGAGCCACTGCACCCAGCCTGAATATAATACTTTTGATGTGATAATTTTCTAATGGGCCAGAGTGCGGTGGCTCATGTGTATAATCTTAGCACTCTGGGAGGCCGAAGCAGGAGGATGGCTCGAGGTCAGGAGTTCGAGGCCAGCCTGAGCAAGATCGAGATCCCATCTCTACTAAAAATAGAAAGAAATTAATTGGTCAACTAAAAATATAGAGAAAAAATTAGCCAGGCATGGTGGCGCATGACTGTAGTCCCAGCTACTTGGGAGG